ATGTATTTAATTTGGTTAAGGTTATCTTTCTGAGTGGATAGCCATATTCCTGTCAGCATGTTTAAACCCAATGGGCTCACAAATATTTAGTACGGTGAGGGATATACAGTGGAACCTCGACTTACAAGTGTCCTAACATACGAGTTTTTCAAAATACGAGCCATCACTCGGTCGATTTTTTGCTCCGAGTTATGAGCCAAAATCTGAGTTATGAACGAGTTTCCCCCTCAACCCATCTCGCTTGTTTATCTGATTTCATGCTTTAATTCCATGGACATCATCATCTTTTTCTTCTCAGTACTGTCCTTTGCAGTTTCTTTGGACCCATGGTTAGAAAAAAGAAATTTGACAAAATAACTACACAAAATGCAAGCAAAACATGAGAAAAGTGCTTCCACAGCGAGAAAAACAGTGCACTGCGCCAGTTGGCTGCCTTCTGAAGCTCCTAATTATTATTATTATAATAATTAGTATTATAATTATTATTAATTTAGGGAATTGAAGTTTGATTATTACTAATTAATTTAAGGATCTCATGTTTTATTGTTTTTATGCAATATTTCTTATTTATAAATACACTGTTTGGTGTTTTCCCTATGAAACTAGTGATCTAGTACAGTTTAGCCTCACAAACACTCTGTCTTCAGAGGGGAAAGAATGGGAAGATAAGGTCAGTGTGGCAGCAGCAATGGCTGCCACCACTTGCCATATTATGGCCTATTTTATTTATTCTAGAGTATATATGTTTCTATATTATTTATAATGTTTATTTTGTCATATTAGATCAATTGTGGTAAATAAATAAGCTGTAGAGTTGATATTAGCATCATATTGAAGTAGTATTTTGTCCTGCCTCCCGAGAGCAGGAATTCCGCTGGAACAGATTAATGGCATTTCATTTAATTTAAATAAAGGTAGTAGGTTGGTAGACAGCATCCATCCAGGGAGGTACTACCGTCCTGCCAAGTGAGTGTAAAACGAAAGCCTGTAATTGTTTTACATGATGGTAGGATTGCTGGTGTCTTTTGTCTGTCTCATAAATATGCAAGATTACAGGTACGTCTTGCTACTTCTACTTACACTTAGGTCACACTACACATATGTGTACAAGCATATATATACACACCCCTCTGGGTTTTCTGCTATTTTCTTTCTAGTTCTTATTTATTTCCTCTTATCTCCATGGTGAAGTGGAACAGAATTCTTCCTCCGTAAGCCATGCGTGTTGTAAGAGGCAACTAAAATGCCGAGAGCAAGGGGCTAGTAACCCCTTTTCCTGTATATATTACTAAATGTAAAAGGAGAAACTTTTGTTTCTCCTTTTGGGCCACCCCGCCTTGGTGGGATACGGCCGGTGTGTTCAAAGAAAGATTTATTTTAAATGAGGAAAATTGATTTGATGTATGAACAAACCGAGTTATGAGCTAGGACACAGAATGGATTAAACTAGTAAGTCAAGGTTCCACTGTAGTATATGGCTCACGAAATCGTAATGACACAATTGCAAACAAACCACGGTACAGGTGGGAATTGAACTCATGGCAAGTGAGTTGTAAAACTCCAGGCCAGTGAGCAGCTACTGGGCCAGTTGGCTACAATAAGATTCATCCAGCTAGTGCTTACGTGCTGGCCTGGAGTTTTATGATTCACTTGCTACATGTTCAATTCCCACCTGTACTGTGGTTTGAGGGATGTTCATCTTTTTTTCTTTCAATCTTTCGATTTGCAGCAACTGATCCAATCACAAGTATGAGTTAACTTGCAAATACTGACAAGGTGCCTTCATTGCAAATAAGTAATATGTTTTAGCTAAGGATATAGTGCATGAAATGTTCATGATCACATAAAATGAGAATCTCTCAGTATCCTAGAGGTACAAACTGTGCAAGCCATACTGAGTACTGATGCAATTTTTTTTTTTTTTTTTATGCAGTTATCTCATGTACACAAATGCCAAATGTTTTGGTTAGACCAAAACAGTATAAAATCTCCTAAGCCTGAACTTGTACTTACACAAAGTTGTGAGTAACAGCTGGAGTCTTAAAGTTTTTCTTTTTATTCTTTCCCAGCTACAAATTTCACCCTTGGACCTGGGTGATGAGAGCCGTGATTCTCACCACTAAGCTACAGTAGATGATATTCCAGACTGGTTCTCAGAGCTTCTTACAGGATCTGCATAACCCCATGTTCATTACATAGTGCCTTCCTTAACAACCCATTTACTCTTTAGTATTCTAATACATGCTAAAACCTCTTAAGATAAATGTTCCACTTTCTAGCATTTATTTTCACTATTTTCATTACCTATCTTTCTTAACAAGGGAGAGTAATGCAGAAAGTTCAAGCAAAAATTTAAAACGTGAACAATGTCTTTTCTCAGCAAACATAGAAAACATAATTTCATAAGCTTTTAACCACTAGAGTTTTTTCAGTAATGATGTAAGTCACAGATTACTCCAGTGTCATGAAAGATTAATATTCCTATATTAGTTGCCAACTCATATAATAATACAAAATTAAATGTATAATAACTTTACAATAAAGCTGCTTTTTAAATGAGATCAAAACATGTTTTGTTAAAATACAAATTAACAGTCAAATGCCATAAGAACAATACAGGCACAATACTGATATATTAAAAAAAACAAATCCTTGGCAGTCAAATTTGTACACAGAATTACATTTGTAAATGAATTTGCATATGCCATACTTGAATAGGTTAAGAATATTTAAATATTTTTTATTTGATTCAGTTTCTAAGCTCAATCACTAATATACAGAATGTTCTGAATTAGCAATACTGAATTTTACAAAATACATTAATAACATATGCCAATATTCAAACATATTGTGATCACACATTATATTCATTTATACACCAAATATTTAACAAGAGTTTCTAAATGTTTTAGTTACCTACAAGAGACAGCTTGAATACAGAAATTTCTCTTGGATTAATTTCTGCACAGGGCTATTCAAAATCTAGAAACATAAAAATTATGCACGTCAAAAGCAGGGGAAAACTTTAAAAGTGCAACTATTGACGGAACTTATTGGTATAAAAAAATATCTCATAAACAACACTTTTTAAATTTGGTTAATTATTATGAGAAATACATTGTACATTATAGCTATGTACATACAGAGTAAAGCAGAAATCACACACCAGAAGGGGATTTTACTATAATAATAATTCTAAATAATTTTTTTTTTAAACACATCGGCCATCTCCCACAGAGGCAGGGTGACCTGAAAAAGAAACAAATGTTTTTCTTCTTTTCACATTTAGTAATTTATACAGGAGAAGGGATTACTTGCCTCTTGCTCCTTCTAAATAAAATGTTCACAAATAAACATAATGGACTGTGAGGACCCAAAGACAAAATCAAATCTTAATTGTCAGTTTAGCTATAGTGTGTTTAACAATTATTAAAACACTATGACAATTATTAAAACACAGTTACAATGCATTTCCATGTTGATGGCCAACAATTCAAAAATTTAATTTGACTTTCCCTATGAAACACACACAATGGAATAGTGCTCCACTCTGTACATACATATACACAACTAATGCATGAGCTAAAAGCATACAACACTGAAGACAGCCACACTGCAAACACATGACTGTACTATATCAGAGTAAAATGTTTATTTTCTACATGATGTACTATGATTATTATTTGTATACTGTATATGCATACAGTAATGATATAAATCACATGTTAATATAAAAAGAAAAAATAAAGAACAATTTTCAACCTATACAACTGACTGGTAACATGACCATTTACAATGGTCAATTATGATATAGTAACAATAGATCCCTGCTTGCTTATTAACAAAATGATGCACAAGCTACAATTACATTTTTCCCCAATACATCCTGGCTTTGTTATGGCAAGGTCTAAGCAAACGTGATGCAAGGTTAGGGGAAAAAAAACCACCTTGTATGTTTCTAAGAGCTATATGGGAGGTAGGGGTAAGGCAGCAAGTCAAGCCAAGCCAAAAGTTGGCTCCTTTGGCTTGCATTTTTTCTTCCTTGTAGTCAAACAAAGTTTAAAATAAGAATGAATATGGGGAAGAATAAAATCATACGCCACAATACAGTGTGACTGGTCCAAGTCGGACCAAAACGTTGTCATGTTTCAGTCTCCTGCATGCAGGTCACTGGTGTAAAAATAGGAAAGGTTTAGAGTTTAATGAAAACAATTTCATGGCCTGTATAAAAACTGACTCACACCGTATATACAGACTTACATTTACACATAATAAAATCTTAAAAACCTATGAGAATCCAATTTATGATAATGAGGTAAAGCAAATGAATTACTATTAAATTTACAAGTGTGATGATAATGCAATATATACAAGATCAGATGAATATAACTACTATTATTAACATAATTTTTAGTCTCATGTGGATTTCTTATGAACATTATTATACAGCAATGAAGAAACAAATGGGTGCAGAGCACAAAATGCTACAATAAAAGCTTGCTTTGCACCTGTTTCTTGATTATTTTCTACAGTATGCCTTTGTATCCATTATTATCAAGTATTATGCTCATGTCCTGAAAAAATAATACTGTATCTAAATACAGTAGTTAACTTTGACAGATAAAAAAAAAAAAAAATAATTCTTCCAAATTTCTAAATTGACTTGATAAAACTCATTTAAGCAAATATTTATCTGCCATTGTGTATATAAAGAATTACTATACTATATAAGGGGAAGTAATAAAAGGCTACTGGTATTCGTATACTCTAGTTGTAGAAGATAACAGTGGGCAAATTTTCTTCTAGCATTTTACTAAGCTTAATAAAGTATAACTGTTCTGGTTTATAATTTTTTTTACCTATATTCAATGTAGGATTTATCTGTTTATATTTTATAGTGACAGCTTCTTCACAAGAAAAAACTCCCTCAACCCATGATTCTAATTTAATTAAAAGATTTGCATTTTTAAGAATGTTTAAAATAAAATATACAAATTAGATGCATCCAAATCTATCACATATTTTGTAAAAAGAAGAGAATGCACACTCACATGTATATTCAATTATGAGACAATGCAAGTCACCAGCCATAATATGATCCCTCCACTTGTTTACATCTTTTCGTTTGAAGGCAGAGGAAAGGGTCCCTCTGTCCACGTGATAAGCTGATGCTCTGGCAGTTGAGATGCAGTCATATGGTCGGTAAGTAAGGTCTGAGAAAAATTGTAGTGGTTCTGGCTGCTCTCTTGTTCACGCGGTACATCACCAAACTGGCGGTATAAATCTGTAAAAGATGAACTTAGTTTGATGCCATGAAATAAAACATTAGACAGCTCTGAAAGATTAGCAAACTGCTTCACATGCAGCAACCCACAAATGCATAAAAATGACAAACTATTTGCCATGCTAACAAAGGTACAATTCAAGGAAGGAAGAGATTTTTCTTAATAGTATTTGGTCACAAAGTTCAGAGTGCAGAAAGAAGGAGAGAAGAAAGAACAAGGAAAGAGGCAATAAAATCTAAGAACATTGACATAAAAGGAAAACCTCTGATAATGATGTACACCACAGACATTTGTAAAGAAAGACAAAATATAGAAAAAAAGGTTCAGATGTAAATGATGTTGAGAAAGATTTAACATAAAAAGAAAAAGATATACTGTATTAAGAAGTGCATGTACTTTACTGGAATGTTCTGAATAAATGTGAAAACTTAAGGATGACACTGATTCTCACTGTTTAATACGAAACTTCAAAAAAATGCAGATCAGCTTAAATATTAAGTCTCTTTAACCCTTTGGGGGTTTCGAACGTACTAGTACGTCTTACGACCCAGGGTTTTTGACGTACTAGTACGCCTAAATTCTAGCACCCTCAAATCTAGTGAGAGAAAGCTGGTAGGCCTACATATGTAAGAATGGGTCTATGTGGTCAGTGTGCGCAGTATAAAAAAAATCCTGCAGCACACAGTGCGTAATAAGAAGAAAAAACTTTGACCATGTTTTTGGATTAAAACAACGACTTTGCACTGTATTTTCGTATGGTATTTATTGTTGTATTCTAGTTTTCTTGGTCTCATTTTATAGAATGGAAGACATATTACAGAAATTGAGATGATTTTGACTGGTTTTACAATAAAAAGTACCTTGAAATTGAGCTCAAAGTAGCAGAAATGTTCGATTTTTACCAAAGTTCAAAAGTAAACAAATCATGCCAAGCTTCCAATACACATCAACTGGTGAGTCTAATATTCTCTCACAAGTGCGCTGATATTATTTATACTATTTCTACACTAATGCAGTAGTCTGCATAACAGTAAATCTTATTTTTTTTTGTAAGAATAAAAATTCAAAGTGGAAAGCCAAAGAAATATAAGAGGGGCCTGGGGATGTGACTAACGAACAGAGAACTTGCTATTTTAGTGCCAGGAATGTCTTTCTTGTTTATTCTGGACCCTATTCAGAAATTGGCATCTTTTGAAATTTGTGTGAAATTGGCAAAATTGCTAAATTCTGACCACTTTATTGGATAGTTGAAATCGGTAAATGGGTGGTTTCTTGTACTCATTCGATAGAAAAAGAGAGTTTTAGCAAAATAGTTATGATTTTTGTTGGCTAGTACACTGGAATTGGCCGAAAATAGGGCTCAAAGTAGGCAAAATCGCCGATGCGTAAACATCGTTGAGACCGCTAACTTCATGAGAGCATAATTCCGTAAGTTTTCCTTCAAGTTTCATACTTTTGGTGCCATTATGATCGGGAAAAGATTATCTTTTCATAAGAAAAAAAATTTTTTTCTTAAATTTGGCCGACCCTGAGAACAAGTCTCTGAGAGGACCTGTCGACCCCCAAAGGGTTAATATTAAGTCATTGAGAGTATATGTCTGTCATATTTTTACACTTTTTTATTTTCTCAACAAACCAGCCATATCCCATCAAAGCAGGGTGACCTAAAATGAAAAACAGAAGTTTTTCTCTTTAAATTTAACAATTTATACAGAAGGAGTTACTAGTCTCTTGCTTCTGCTTTTTAGTCACCTTTTAAGACACACACGACTTACAGAGGAAGAATTCTGTTCCACTTCCCCATGGATATTTTTCTTCTTTCTTCTTTCAACAAACCAGCAGTATCCCACCAAGGTAGGGTGGCCCAAAAAGAAAAACAAAAGTTTCTCTTTTTAAATTTAGTAATTTATACAGAAGGGGTTACTAGCCCCTTGCTCCCGGCATTTTAGTCGCCTCTTACAACACGCACGGCTTACAGAGAAAGAATTCTGTTCCACTTCCCCATGGATATTTTTATACTTCTTTCTTTCTTTCAACAGCCGGCCATATCCCACCGAGGCGGGGTGGCCCAAAAAGAAAAACAAAAGTTTCTCTTTTTAAATTTAGTAATTTATACAGGAGAAGGGGTTACTAGCCCTTGCTCCCGGCATTTTAGTCACCTCTTACAACACGCATGGCTTACGGAGAAAGAATTCTGTTCCACTTCCCCATGGATATTTTTATACTTGTTACTATTAAAGTGTTAACACAAAGAAATGCTGAACGTAGAAAAATCACCAGAGCTTCATGACTACATACTGTACCAAATTGTTCATTATAATTACATTATAATCCTAACTAAAAGCTAAACCCACAAGAGTCATACAGACTAAATTGCTCAAAACAATTCACAAATGGATTCTTTCATTTTCTGAGTTCTGCTATCAACAGTAAGTTCAATTTTATCTGCACTCATTATTATAGAAAATTAATTACATTATATCATGCAGTTAAGAGCCTATTATGAAAAAAAAAATTTTTTTGTTAGGTAAATGGACACGTGCAACTATTGTGACATTTTATTGTGGCAGTGGCTTTGTCAAGCCAAAATGTTGCCACAATAAAATGTCATATTAGTTGCATCTATGTCCATTTACCAAACATTCTGTCAATAATTCTACCATTATTAGTACTTTTTTTTCTTTCTGTTAATGGACAATATTGCTATTTTGTCACATAGGTAATTTACTGCAAGCTGCTGCTATTACGTTTTCTCCTGTTTTCTTCTATATCTTTTACGATCTTTCTGTGTAAGCCCCTTCCTATCTTTTATATTTCTCTTAATTATCATAAAAAAATAAAAGATCATAGCAGTGACAATATATAATTAATTAAGAAATATTTCCTTTTAATTCAGTTCGTAATTTAAACTTGTTACATTAAAGCTCAATAGTAGAAACTTAAATCTTGAACCTTTTAGGATAGCAGATGACCAAAGTTGCAAATGAAGATCTGGAATCTTGGAAGCCAACTGCATAGCTGGTGTGACCATGTTGTGGGCTTCCCGAGGATTTCCCAGTGCAAGAAAGATGTGTCCAAGAAGTACCAAGGAGCAGGATGTCAGGCGGTTCAGGTCCTCGGCATTGGCCATTTTTAGAGACTCACGCAGGAACCGTCTAAAATTTAAACAGATCAACTGTAGCAGTATGTATGAACTATGTAACCTGCAAGCTATCAATAACACTGTTTTTCAACCCTCTTATTTCTTATGACATCACTAAAGAAATGTCTGAAGGGTGATTTTTCCATGAAGTCAAGAAAGTAAATGAATTTGTCTATAATATTTTTTGTAAAAAAACTTACAGCCACTAATGACAAATGTATTTTGTTCTTGAGTTTTACAATAAGATGCCTTCAATACAAAAAGTTTTCTAGAAAAATTATGAATCAGTTCAGTACAGGCAGTAGTACTTCTTGAAAAGCCCTCACTGGCATCTATGTTCTGACAGAATATTTTTATTTTATTATTATTAACACATTGGCCGTTTCCCACCAAGGCAGGGTGGCCCGAAAAAGAAAAACTTTCATCATCATTCACTCCATCACTGTCTTGCCAGAGGCGCACTTACACTACAGTTAGAAAACTGCGACATTAACACCCCTCCTTCAGAATAATAATAATAAAAACATAAATACAACAGGAGGGATGGAAAAAAGATGTGATTTCAACTGAGACTGAAAAGTGTGAACAGATCCCTGACTAACAGATACTGGTAACCTGTTATACAGGCTCGGAACTACTATACACAAGAAAAGGCTCTTTCTGCCAATAATCTCTCCACAACAGCATGAGGCTGTCTGTCTGTCTGTCTCAAGGGATTTGCATCAATTCATAAAAACATCCAAACCCAATATGAAAGGTATGAGTATATCAGCAAGACACTTATGCTCTTGAAACTTCAAGGCTTTAAACATCAAAGAACAGTTTAAATTCAATTCTTGCCTTTATAGGGAGCCAATGCAGCTGATGTAAGTAAGGATTAATAGGAACTCTAAGTGGGAGCAAAGATGCCAGTTCAGGTGCGTGATTCAGTACATACTCAAGTCTTTTAAGCAAGTAATTGGGCAAACCTACGAACAAACAATTATAAAACTCAATTTAAGAGGAAACATGCATAGATAAGGACCAAAATACGTACTCTGCCTTTGAATATACTTTCTAACTGCATAGACAGAGATTACGAATATGAAAACCAAGTTTTAACTATCTGTTTCGAAGAGCAAACATATGACAACAAAGAATCCGTGTAAATACCCAGATCTTTCACTGATCCTACAGGCTACAAACTAACAGCACTCCCTAAATATCATTTGTGCAACACTTGGGTATTTCTAATCTGGAAGTGTTTCACCAGCCAGTGGCTTCTTCAGCCCAATGCAGAGAAATAGTGGAAGGTGAGGAGGAGTGTGAAGTAATCAGTCCCTCAGCCTGGGACTCCAGGCTGAGGGACTAGTTAAATCACACTCTCATCTTCCACCATTTCTCTGCATTGGACTGAAGAAGCCACTGACTGGTGAAAACATTTCCAGAATAAAGATACCTAAGTGTTGCACAAATGTCTTATTTATCACACACTTACTTGCCATCATTATGACGACTCGTGAAGAAAGCATGGAGACCCTGAACATAAAAAGATGCTGCACGTAGACTCTGAGACTGTGTGGGAAGTGTGTCTGGGTTTATCCTGTCCATGATAGCAACAAAGTCCCGCTCACGTTGACATCTCAAGTATACCACAGCAAGGTTGAGGTTAGCAAAAATCCAGAGATCTCTGTTTTTCGAGGTCTGAAAACAATAAAAGTATGTTCAGTGGTCTTGTAATTAATTGAAACTATGTTACTTTTTACCTAAAAAAAATTAGCATCTTAGTGAGAATATTATGATTTGGTAGATCATCTGAATTATGATGTCTGTGCATTTTTAAGACAGCTATAAAGTGATTGATGGTGAATGTTTTTACCATCTTTGGGCCACCCTATCTTTGTGGGAAATGAACAATGTAGTAAAAAATGTACATCTACCAAACGTGTCTGCTCATACATGCTCCTGTACCAATATAAACACTGAATAAAAAGGAATAAAAAATAATCTCTTTACTTCATCAATGAAGAACCATTTGAACATTCCATAACTTACCCTGAGGGCTGCATTAAACTGAACTTCTGCTGCATTTGAGTTGTTCATGCTCATGGCATACACAGCAAGCAGGGTGTGCAACTGTGCACGATGTGCCTGTAGAGAAAAAGATTGAGTGATTAGAGCTAAATGTATAACAGGTTTCTATGACACAGTGCTGTATGCTTATGAGATTATTTAGAATTTTGCTTTTTAAGCAGTAATTAATAATGCAGTACTGGTTTATAACCACAAGGATACTGCAAGGAAGAAGGCCATATCTAATCACTTTTCTTGTCCATGCATTAAATGAGAAAAAATAACTGATGTACTATCAACTTTATTAAAACAAAAAAAAATAAATGAGGATACATGTATACAGTGTTCATCAATAAAGATTCAGGCAAATTACCACATAGCAATTCTAGGTACATTATTCCAGTTAAAGTTAGTGGGGATGTTTCTCTAAGCTTGCCTGGAAGTGCTTTTACTATGATCATGTCAATAACACTATCCTCGAATAACTGAAGCAAACAGGTCCTCACTGAATGCTCATACACATCGATGGTTTCTACTATTTCCTTCATTTGATCGCCTGCTTTATGTAATTCAATGGTCTGTGCAAATGTCTCTTATGTAAGTGACTTACTCCTCCCACATTAATTCGCCAATAGCCAAAAAATGCCTGACAAACTCGGCTCTCAAAACCACACAGGGGCAGGGGGATCACAGACACAAAACAGTCTACCATACAAGCCTAGAAGGCCCACTACCAGTTGCCCGGCCAGTATAACATTTTGTCCCACCCAAAACTCTTCCAGGGTAAGGTATTACTTTGGACATTAAAGTATGCTGGATGCCTTCCACTTGGCATACTTTAATGATGAGCACTGTACTGTAGGAAAAGAATATTTTTAACACACTGAATATATCAGAAGTGTGCAGTCATCAGTCTAAATGGCCTTCCAAACTGCAGCAACATCCTCACATTTTCTCCAGAGTACAAGTATGTGCTTTAGATTAACATGTTAAAATGTCATCCAATATAAATCTCCAGCACTTCATTACTGACCAGAAGTACAGTACATACCTGCAGTTGTTTGGCATCCTGCTGAAGTAGATGGCAGACTTTAGCAATCTCCTTGATAGCTTGAGATTTTGAGCCTATAATCAAGTGACACATTACACTGTGTTCTAGGAGGAGTAGCTGTACAGAGCTCAGTATGGATGCATTATCCTCAGCTGAAAAATAAACTGATTATATAATTCTGTTCCAATATTAATTTTCCACAATTATTCTAATACAGTACTACACTTAAATTTGCATCTGGTGTTTTGTATACAAGAACAATGACTAAAATTTGGTGCTAAATAGGCCAGTGTAAATGAGTCTCTATAATATACTGTATAAGCTGTCCTGACATTGTGCTGGCTTTTCAGGTGGTCCTGGTACCCTTATCTCATTATAACAATAGTTCTTAACATAGATCTCTGCGAAGGCTTCAACACTGCCCTTGACTTAGTGGGTTACTTAAAATGGGATTTTACTACTGTATTAAGATTCAAGATCTTTCATGCTACAAAAATAAATAATTGTACAGTATATGTTAGTACACTAGGTAGTAGGATTGGTACACAGCAACCACCCAGGGAGGTACTACCGTCCTGCCAAGTGAGTGTAAAACAAAGCCTGTAATTGTTTTACATGATGGTAGGATTGCTGGTGTCCTCTTTTCTGTCTCATCAACGTGCAAGATTTCAGGTACGTCTTGCTACTTCTACTTACACTTAGGTCACACTACACATACAAGTACAAGCATATATATACACAGCCCTTTGGGTTTCTTCTATTTTCTTACTAGTTCTTATTTTTGTTTATTTCCTCTTATCTCCGTGGGGAAGTGGAACAGAATTCTTCCTCCGTAAGCCATGTGTGTTGTAAGAGGCGACTAAAATGCCAGGAGCAAGGGGCTAGTAACCCCTCTCGTGTATAAATTACTAAATTTAAAAAGAGAAACTTTTGTTTTTCTTTTTGGGCCACCCTGCCTTGGTGGGATACAGCCGGTTTGTTGAAAAAAAAAAATGTTAGTACACGTACAGTGATTATGTATGAAAGATGATGAAAGTGTTGAATGATGATGAAAGTTTTTTCTCTCTCTTTGAGTTTTCTTTCTTTTTTTTTTGGGTAACCATGTCTCGGTAGGAAATGGCCGACGTGTTAAAAACAAAAAAAATGTTAATACAGTGTAGGGAATTTTTGCTGGCATTAATTTCCATAGTTTTGATGTTGCTGCTACTACGTTTAGGCTTCAGAGTTATTCCTTGGACTTTTAATATCACCTGGGTTTAGATTTAAAGAAAAAATTTTCTTAAATCGATTTTCTATATACAGTAGCATTGGCAGTTTTACTGCAAATACTTAATTAATGCAAATAGTATAAATCTTTCTTCCAAAAATCTATCAAAATAATGACAAATACCTTAAATTTTGTAAGTTTTACTACTAGTTTAAAGTTCATTTCCCATAAATTTTAGATACTGCTGTTTTACATTTTACCAATTTTTTCAAGTCATTTTTGTATATTTCTTCAAATTATTTATTAAATTCACATTGGCATAAGAAATACTGCTCATTAGCCTAGAGATAGCATTTTTTCTAACCACTTGATGTTAGAAATAAAGAACATTGATTTGTGGCTATGCAAAAACACAAAATTATTTCTTCCTGGGCAAGAAGTTAAAACAAATTGCAAAAAGTTTAGAGAAATATCTCTATTATTTGACTAAAATGTGATGTTCATAAAATGCAATATACATACTGTATAACACTTGCATATCTTGAAGAGTTAAGCAAAAATACTGTACCTAAGACACAAATATAATACTACCATTTTAAAGACAAATATTTTTTGTACATGACTCAAGAAATCGTAATGACACGATTGCAAATAAACCATACCCCCGGCCGGGGGTATGGTTGATTTTTTGTACATATTCATTTACCTTTGAGTTTGTCAATCTGCAGAAGAGCTTTATCTGTGTACTTCTGGGCCTTCTCCATGTAACCTGCCTGCGTAGAGTGCATGACAGACACCAGGTAGACCAGCACACACAGTTGATCCCGAGGCAACCAAGCAAACATTTCACTTCCACTGCTCGGGATGATTTCTAAAACAATAATAATTAAACAAAAGATGACCACATTTTCTCTTGCAGCTTTCATATTTAGTGAGTTAAGCATTCTAGCTGTTCATTTGAAAGACTACACTACTGTGTTAAACATTATACAAACTATCCCCTTTTAAGAGACAATTTCTCCAATAGTAATTGCAGTATCATAAGCAAACTGCAGATCACATGTATCTAGTATTGCTAATGGCATATGATAAGGTGGATGGAGCCCCCAATTCTCCAATCATTTTACAATTTTTTTTTATTTACTGATAACACACCTTGTTCAGAAAGTTGAGTGATGTTTTGTATAGACTGCTGCAGCTGCTTGAGTGCTGGCTTTACACTTTTCACCTGCCCACTGTTGAGGTTGTGACACACAAGCAGCACAAGGTAGAATACCTAGTGAGAGAAAAATCTTTCAGTGAAATTTTGATTTTTTTTTTTCTCTGGTATACAGGTATTTTCCTGACCACAAAACCTTTATCAAAAAATTTACTTATACAAAACTTAATAAATACAGATTTTTTTTTTTGAATATTAGAGTAAGGATCAAATATACAAAATCCTGCTACAGGTACCAAAATCTTCACATGATTTTTTTTCTGTGGCTAATTAATATGGTCTATCGTAATATTTCTGACCAAAAAATTAAGGAAAAATCATTTGTTTAAGGGACTAGTTACAGTAATATTAATTTTTCAGATCATTTATGTACAATCTTTGAAATGATGGAATTCACTTCCAGAATTAACTAAAAAATCTGAAGTACAGGTCTCTCTCCACATTCGCGAGTTCCACTTTTCGCAGGCTTCGAACATTCGCGAATGGCCAGCTACCCAATCATATTTAAAATATGTCATTACATATGTTAGGAATTGTGGCGGTGGCAAAGTTTGTTTAGAGATAGGACAAGATAGTTGTTCAATATGACACTAATATCAACTCTACGGCTTATTTCTCTATCACAATTCATCTAATATGACATAATAAACAATATAAATAACATAGAAACATGACATATACTCTAGAATTAATAAAATATGTCATTAAGTGTGTCGTGAGTGTTGTTGTGTTGTTGATGTTGGGTGTATAAGGGCCACTGAGAGCATAAGCCTTACATAGTGGTGGTGAAGGCAGCAGCAGAGGCAGTAGTGGCGGCGGTGTTGTCAATCGCCCTATACAGTGGTCCCTCAATAATCGTCCGGCCTGAAAGTCGTCCATTTCGGAAATAGTCCTGTTTTTTCGTCAAAATATTGACTCGCAAATGGTCCGGTAACTCGCTAATAGTCCTTTGTCCCGGACGCGTACTCACACTCTGAGCCACCTTGGCCAGTATGCCATTGTTTACCAGTGAGCGATGGTCCCCTCACGTGCTCCAGTGAAATATTTCATAATATTCCATTTATTTTAGTGCTTGCAAGTTATTTAAGTGCTAAATAAGCTACCATGGCTCCAAAGAAAGCGCCTAGTGCCAAGCCTTTGGTAAAGAAGGTGAGAAATACGATTGAATTTAAGAAAAACATCATTGAACAATATGATAGTGGCGTAAGTGTGGGCGAACTGGCGAGGATGTATAACAAATCCCGTACAACCATATCTTCCATCATAGCCAAGAAAAAGGAAATCAAGGATGCTGTTGTTGCAAAGGGGTAAATATGCTGACAAAAATGAGATCACCAGTACTCGAAGATGTTGAGAAGTTATTATTGGTGTGGATAAATGAGAAACAATTAGCAGGAGATAGTCTTATGACGTCGCTTATTTGTGAAAAGGCTAGGCAGTTGCACGACGATTTGGTAAAGAAATTGCCTGCAACTAGTGGTGATGTGAGTGAATTTAAGGCCAGCAAAGTTTTAAAGAGACGCCAAAAACAGAGCTCTCTGGACAGTTTTTTTTGCGAGACAGGACTCCAGTGACTCTCAAGGTGGTCCTAGTGGCATTAAGAAACAGAGAAGAGAAGTAACCCCAGAAAAGCAATTGGTACCCGAGGTGTTGATGGAAGGGGATTCCCCTTCCAAACAGTAAATGATCCAATCTGTCTCCTACTCCAGTCTTCCATACACAAAGAAGAATCGCCAATAAAGGTAAGTGTTATTCTGTTAACATTTAATTCATCATGTGCCACTGTATTGTTTATGTACTATATCTATATTTCATGTAAAAAAAATTTTTGTTTTAATACTTCTGGGTGTCAGGAACGGATTAATTGAATTTACATTATTTCTTATGGGGAAAATTGATTCGTAAATCGTCCATTTCAATAATAGTCCCACTTCCAGGAACGGATTATGGACGATTATTGAGGGACCACTGTATAACTCCAACAACACTGGAAGAGTTAGGTTTGTGCTGTCCTTTTTCTATCGATTAATCGCTAAACTTACTTGCTACGCTGTTAATGCTACACTTTATTGCTGCTTTAGAATCGTACATGTCGTAGAATCACTGAAGAAGGCACATTCTCCCCTCTCTCTTCCTCCTCCACTTTGGTACTCTGCTACAAGTTCTTTCTTGAATTCTATAGTCTTTCTCACCTTCTTTACCAAAGGGCTGGCACTAGTACAATATTTTATGATGTTTTCATGTGTTTTATGATTGTTCATGGCTCAATAGGTTAAGGAAGCAGAATTGTAAGGCTAAATAAATGCTATTATTATATTTCCCTATAATATATCTGTGCACCAAACATTCACGATTTTTCAACATTCATGAGGTTCTTGATCCCCTAATGCTCGTGAATGTGGAGGGAGACCTGTATACCAATGTCACATGTCATATGGCATAAAAAATACAAGTTAAAATATAAAACAAATTGTCTATGTTTGACATTAAACTTTGGCTGCTGAATAATGACAGGCAGGCCCCACTTTACAGCATTTCGCTAATACAGTGGCTTTCAATTATACCCATTTTTCATTTATTCAGACTTCCTACAATAAATATATTTACCACTTACTATAAGCTAAGGACGAAAATATTTTAAGGTAAGTAATAGTAATATGTATGCTGTACAGTGGACCCCCGCATAACGATTACCTCCGAATGCGACCAATTATGTAAGTGTATTTATGTAAGTGCGTTTGCACGTGTATGTTTGGGGGTCTGAAATGGACTAATCTACTTCACAATATTTCTTATGGGAAAAAATTCGGTCAGTACTGGCACCTGAACATACTTCTGGAGTGAAAAAATATCGTTAACCGGGGGTCCACTGTATATGCATTTTTTAAGGCCTAGCTCTATTGCTCACTTAATATATGATAGTGTAAACATATTATTAGGCTTTTATATGAATCTGAAAGTTAAAAAAAAGACCATGATTCACTTTACATCGATTTTTGCTTTTCACTGGTAGCCCAGAACCTGAGCTGCTGTATTCAAAGTAATCCCTGGTGTAGCAGGTATATGGAGGTTGTTCTTTCTGCAAAGATTCCTCATACAATACTATTTTGATTTATTTGAAAAAAATAAGAGGCATTCAGTCACATTCGTAGTTTCAGTACCCTGAATATTATGAATGTACAGTAGAACCCCATATCAACTGATTTGGAATCCATGGTTTACTGTGGCCCAAAAAATACCTCTAAATTTTGCATAAAATGGCCCCAAAGTCCAAAAGTAGAGAAGCTGGCAGTTATTCAAAGACTAAGAGAACTCGTGTAGTCCTTCTTATCAGTGAAAAAGTGATAATTCTCCACTTATTGTGCATAATTTATCAATTAAATTTTATAATAGGCATGTATAGGACTTATATATAGGGTTTGCTACTATCTGCAGTTTCTGTATCCATGGCAGATCCTTGGAACATATTTCCCAGGGATATGGGGGTCCTACTGTACTTTATAAAAATGATTATGGTAAAACAAAGTAAAGTTTCTTTACCAAGGAACTCCTTATGTTCACATTCTATTCTAAGAACATAAGAAAGAAGGAGCACTGCAGCAGTTATCAATAACTTGTTACTGTGGCTCAGTGGTAACACATCTGGCTCACAAACAAATGAACCAGGAGCAATCCTCAGGTAGGTGATGTTGAGAGTATTTTTTTTTTACAACAGTTGCCTCTGTTCACCTAGCAGTAAGTAGGTACCTGGATATTAGCTGGATGTTAACTAACTGGTGGAAGTCACATCCTTAGGAACATGACCAAAGAATCTCAATGGAAATAAGCCACACTGATTATATTTCATGTGTTATCCTTGATTAGTAACCCTTCAAGTTACTAGTCCAATTAAGGTCTTTTTTTTTACTTTAACAAATATATTGTAAACACCAAGTCTCTCATGCTCCAGCTTCATGAAAATAAATGTACTATTACAGCCAATACAAAGTAAGGTTTCTACCCTGAGGTGTTCCTTTTGTCCTTGGGGCCCATTATATTGTTCCACCTTCTGGTTGGCTTGAGCAAGTAAGGTCTGCACTTCTGCAGCTCCACGACCCTCCAACAGCATCACCTATGGTTAGAAAATTTCCTATGTAGAGAGATTAATTATATTCAATAATGTATATTAAAATTTCTATGACCAATCCACTGTAAATGAAAAACTATTTCCTTATAATGATTATGAAAAATTTGTGTTTTAACATAACTGAAAATTTATAATTAACAGTGCCTGCAATCTGAGGGAGGTGTAGGGGATGTTGCACTCTCTCGAAAGGCATAGAATTAGGGGGGATATGATCGAGGTGTATAAATGGAAAACCAGGAATAAATAAAGGGGATGTAAATAGTGTGCTGAAAATTTCCAGCCAAGACAGAACTCACAGCAATGGTTCCAAGTTGGAAAAATTCAGATTCAGGAAGGATATAGGAAAGTACTGGTTTGGTAATAGAGTCATGGATGAGTGGAACAAACTCCCGAGTACAGTTATTCAGGCTAAAATGTTGTGTAGTTTTAAAAATAGGTTAGATAAATACATGAGTGGGTGTGGGTGGGTGTGAGTTGGACCTGACTAGCTTGTGCTGCTGGGTCTGGTGCCATGCTCCATCCTTGAGTGGAGGTGACCAGACTGAGTGGGTCATTGGGCTAATCCAGGGGGGGGAGGGGGACATGGACCTGCTCCACATGGGTCAGTAGGCCTGTTGCAGTGTTCCTTCTTTCTTATGTTCTTATTTCAGAGGGTTGTTTGATCTCTGATGCCTGAACACTTCTGGCAAAATGCCTACTGAATGAATCATAGAGAATTATTATTTTTTTTTTGGGGGGGGGGGAGACACCCTCTCACAGAGGCAGATGGCTGGTGTATTAAAAATAAAAATAAAATGTGTGAAGATACAGTGTGCTCTACAGGTAATTCTTGATTTGAATAGTTCCATTAAAAAGCTTTTGTTTGAAATCAAGACATTGTATTATCCCATGCTTCTATATATAGTACATAAAAAGCTCTTAAAGGACTCTCTTCAAAATTTAAAAACTTTCACAACATATCTCAACAAAGTCTTATGTATATTATTCTGACACATCTAGTACTGTAGTGTGTATTTGGTGAGCATTACCTGTGTTACAGTAACATATAGTGTAACAGTAATCCTTTAGTAGCTCTTACATCAAACAGGAAGTTTTACAAACTTTTTGAGTAGGAACTAAGTAAAAAAATTTACAAAAGTAGAAAATTATCAGTATGGTGCATAAACAGTACTGTATTGTATACATATGTGCAAAAAAAAAAAAAAGTACAGGTATCAATGTCAGTGGTATGCGATACTGTACCACGGCCATGGTTACATCACAATACTGGGAATCAAATTTCAAATGTTAAGAGTTCAAAGCAGCTATTTGCTCTTTATCACTTGGAGTGTGGGGTGTACCAGGGTGGCTTGGCTTATCATATGTAATCACTGAAAACAGCAAATTTATTTGTTCTACTGTGTTCAAACAAAAAGAAATCAACAAAGAATTCATAATCATAGAAAGGTTACAGTAAACATGCACTGCTTAAAATTTTCTAAACATAAATGTGAGTGTATGTGTGTGTGTGTGTGTGTGTGTTGGAGATGCGGGGAACGGTGAGAGGCATATGTGTTTGCGTGTGCTGGAGACTCAGCTGTGTTGGAGATTCAGGAAAGGGTAAGGGATTATTTATGTTTGTATGTGCTGGAGACTCAGCTGTGTACTGGACAGATGATGGTGGCATGAGCAATAAGATGTAAATATTGTTCAGTGCAAAATCTTACATATTGTATTGTACTCAGATACAGTATATACAGTGGAACCCTGGTTTTCATCTTTAACCCTTTAACTGTTTACGTTGTATATATACATCTTACGCGCCACTATTTCTGATGTATTTAAACGCATAAATTTTAGTGGTCTCAAATCAAGCAGGAGAAAGCTGGTAGGCCCACATGTGAGAGAATGGGTCTGTGTGGTCAGTGTGCACCACATAAAAAAAATCCTGCAGCATGCAGTGCATAATGAGAAAAAAAACTGACCGTTTTTTTTGGATTAAAACGCCGACTTTGAGGTGTATTTTCGTATAGTATTTATCGTTGTATTCTTGTTTTCATGGTCTCAGGCCATAAAATGTAAAACATATTACAGAAATAGAGATGATTTTCATTACTTTCACGATGAAAACGACCTTGAAATTGAGCTCAAAGTAGCGGAAGTGTTTGATTTTTACCAATGTTCAGGAGTAAGCAAATTACACCACACGTCCAATACACGTCAACTGGGGAGTCTTATATTCTTTCACTAGTGCACTGATATTATTTATACCATTTTTACAATAATGCAGTAGTCTGCATAACAGTAAATTTTGTATTTTTTTGTATGAATAAAAAATCAAAATAGAAAGCAATAGTAATATAAGAGGGGCCTAGAGACGTGACTAATGAACAGAGGATATGTTATTTTAGTGCCAAGAATGTCTACATTGTTTATTCTGGACCTTATTTTGAAATTGGCATCTTTTTTAATTTGCGTAAAATTGGCCAAATTGCCAATTTCTGACCACTTTATTGGGTAGTTCAAATCAGTAAATGGGCAGTTTCTTGTACTCAACTGATAGAAAAAATGGAGTTCTAAAGAAATAGCTACGAGTTTGGTCAACGGGAACAACGGAATTGGCCAAAAACAGGGTTCAAAGTCGGCAAAATTGCTGATGCGTATGTGTCGCCGAGATCGTTAACTTCGCGGGAGCGTAATTCCGTGAATTTTCGACCAAATTTCATACTTTTGGTGTCATTACCATCGGGGAAAGATTCTCTATCATTTCATAAGAAAAAATAATTTTTTTTTTTAAAACTTTTGCGACATAGAATGACAGTTTCAGAAAGGGGCTTGCGATAGTCAAAGGGTTAATCTGTTCCAGAAGGTCAGCCGAAAACCGATTTGTACGAAAACTGAAGTAATATTTCCCATAAAAAATACTGTACCGAAAACCGATTTGTACGAAAACTGAAGTAATATTTCCCATAAAAAATACTGTAATGTACGTAAATCCAATTAATCCATTCCAGACACCCAAAAATATTAACAAAAAATACATTTTATACAGAATAACTATAGTTGTACATACAGAAAAAATGAGAAATAAATATAAAGTACTAATGAAATGGATAAATAAACATTTAAATCACTTTTACCTTTATTGAAGACTCTTGTTGACATATGGAAGATGGCAAGGAGGGGAGAGGGAGAAGAGGTTATCTCTACCACCCTCTACCACCATCACTACCACCCTCTATGAGTAAAAAAGGCAGACTGACTCACGAACATATGAGTGGCCACGTCCCGTGGGCAGGCGGATGCATCTGGTATGGACAATTTCTGAGCGGATGTATGAAAACAGGGAAAATTTTGCTGAAAAAATGGTTGAAAACTGAATTGTACGATAACCGAGCCAGACGAAAACCGGGGTTCCACTGTATTTCAAACTATATTTGATGATTCAGAATTCAGATAAAAGTATACAATAGGTATTTATATTGTTTGTTGTGAAATTTACTTTTAAGGAAACTAAACATGGCTAATATAAACAAGTACAAGTAAAATCGAACCCCCAACCAAATTCAAGTGCTTCCTAATTCATATGCTTCGATTACTCAACAGTTTTTACTGATTGATTATCCAATATTTTCACCAAAGAGCATACAGCAAATAGTTTTGCTTATTTGCATAGTTTTTGCTGTGCAAACTTTGATTCTGGATTAGTACATGACTCCCTAAATTGATTTTAGACAGTCTTTCTAATGAATGTTGATACTAGTGAAGATAGAGATATATGGAATCTGAAACAAAATTTATTACAGACAGACTTTAATAGTACTGTATTAGTGAATTCTGAATTTGTGAGGACCATCTTTGCAAATTTGGAGTTTCAATTGTATACTAGAATGTCCTGGCTTTTCAAAATACAATTAACCACACCATTAGTGTAAGACATTGTGTCCAAACACAGAACAAAACATGCATCTGAATTTTAACCCTTTGACTGTCGCGGCCGTATACATACGTCTTACGAGGTACCGTGTTTGACGTATATATACTCATAAATTCTAGCGGCTTCAAATCAAGCAGGAGAAAGCTGGTAGGCCCACATGTGAGAGAATGGGTCTGTGTGATCAGTGTGCACCATATAAAAAAAATCCTGGAGCACGCAGTGCATAATAAAAAAAAAAACTCCGACCGATTTTTTTAATTAAAATGCCGACTTTGTGGTCTATTTTCGTATAGTATTTATGGTTGTATTCTCGTTTTCTTGGTCTCATTTGATAGAATGGAAAACATATTATAGAAATAGAGGTGATTTCGATTGATTTTACTATAAAAAGAACCTAAAAATGGAGCTCAAAGTAGGGGAAATGTTTGATTTTTGCCAATGTTCAAAAGTAAACAAATGATGCCATTGTCTAATAAATGTCCAACTAGCCACTCTAATATGCAGTCATGAATGGGTTGATGTTATTTATACAATTATTACAGTATTGCAGTAGTCTGCATAATAGTAAGTCTTCTATTTTTTGTTTGAATAAAAATTCAAAATAGAAAGCAAGAGTAATATCAGAGGGGCCTGGAGACATGACTGATGAGCAAAGAAAATGTTATTTTAGAGCCAGGAATGTCTGCATTGTTCATTCTGAACCTTATTTTGAAATCGTCATATTTCTTAGTTTTCGTGAAATTGGCCAAATTGCAAATTTCTGACCACATTATTAGGTAGTTGAAATCGGTAAATGGGCAGTTTCTTGTACTCAATCAATAGAAAAAATGGAGTTCTAAAGAAATAGCTATGAGTTTGGGCGACTGGAACAATGGAATTAGCCGAAAATAGGGCTCAAAGTGGGCAAAATCGCCGATTTGTAAACAGCGCCGAGGTTGCTAACTTCGCGAGAGCATAATTCCGTCAGTTTTCCATCAAATTTCGTTTTTTGGTGTCATTACAATCGGGAAAAGATTCTCTATCATTTCATAAGAAAAAATAATTTTTTTTTTTTTTAAATTTTGCGACACCAGGAGACACCTCAGGATTGGGGGTTGCGACAGTCAAAGGGTTAACTGAATCTTGAATAAATAAATGAATCATTATTTATGAACAATGAAAAAGCTATTAAAAGATATAAAATCACATGACTTTTTTGTAACTTGTCAGTCTGTAATAAGTACTATACTCATTACTATAGTGATCTATCAATCTATCATTATTTTTAATTATTATCTGTGCCTCCTTTTTTTCCTACTCCTTGGAGTCAAATAAAAAGCAGATTTGTTCATGATGCAGGATTTTATCTGTTTTTATTGTTTAACAAGGTCAAGACTTATTTTATCTATTAATAACTTACTTCCATATTATTATTATTATTATTAATTAAAACAAATTTATATATACAAAAATTATGAAACATAACATTTGTCATTTCTTGTATTTTTTTTTAACCTCGACAGCCATCACCCACCAAGGCTGAGGTAACCCAAAGAAGAAAATACATTCACCATCATTCATTCAACTGCTCTCCTGCCAGAATAATTCTAACACTACAATTCAGATTACTCTGGCTGCAACATCCCCAACCATCACCTTCACACTTACATTTCCAACTTCAGCACTCTAAATCAGGCTGACCAGTTTCCTTGAATCCCTTCATAAATATTAGTATACTCAAACTCCAACAGCACATTTATTAAAATTATCTGTTCTATTTGCTCCTATCTAACCTGCCTACCCCCACAAGGCTACTAGATGCTCAAGCCTCTGAAACTCAAAGTACCCTTTACACTTTTCCTTTTATTCATTACTGGGATGACCCCTACTTCTCCTACCTTCCTTCCCCAGTTATACACACTCCATATCATCCTACCCCCTCTTCATCCTCTCTAAATGCTCAAACTGCCTCAACAACCCCTCCTCAGCTCCATGAATTATACTCCTGATGACCCCACACCTTTTACTCTCCGTTCTCCAAACCAAACCTCTGCATAATATTCCAGCCACACATTGATATCAAACTTGACATCTCCATTGCCTTTACCCTTCTTGTTGCAATGTTCAAAGCCCATACCTCACACCCATGCAAAAAAATTAGTACGTATCATTATACTCTGGTACATTCCTTTCTTTTGCCTCCATGAATAAATTTTCTTTCTTTCCACAGTTGCCTCAACACACACCCCTACTTTTTTTCCCCTCATCTATCCTATGACTCACCTGATGTTATCTTCATTATAGAATAATAAGAAAATATTATAACCTTTATATTATAATAATAAGGTAAAAGGACCCCAATGGAAATAATCACTCTGTCTGACTTTTTTGGGTTATCCTAGGTTCTCTACACATATGCTGCTATGTATGATAATTCTATGTAACTGTATTTGTGTGTACCTGAATAAACTTACTTACTTACTTGATAGAACCATCTTCCAACAGGTCTACCCCGAAATATCTCAACACATTTACTTCCTCCATTCTCCCTCCTCCAATCTGGTATGCAATGTATCACTGCCTAGACTTTGTTGCCCCACATCACATTGCTCTTTTCTAAGTCCACTTCTAATTTTTTAAATTTACATACCCTCCCAAATTCACCAACCTTTGTGACTTGTCTTGTATGGTGGCAATACTGAGATAATCAGGGCAAGCTAGGTTATGCCAGATTAACACACAAAAAAATGAATCTTTTGTTTTAGTGCAGGGCTCCTCTGATTCATCAATTAATTCTTACTAACAAGCACCAAAAGGAACCAAGACTTTATATATATATACAGTATATATTCTGTATGTAGGTAGTGGGTTGGTAGACAGCAACCATCCAGGGAGGTACTACCGTCCTGCCAAGTGAGTGTAAAACGGAAACCTGTAATTGTTTTACATGATGGTAGGATTGCTGGTGTCTTTTTTCTGTCTCATAAACATGCAAGATTTCAGGTATGTCTTGCTACTTCTACTTACACTTAGGTCACACTACACATACATGTACAAGCACATATATATATACACACCCCTCTGGTTTTTCTGCTATTTTCTTTCTAGTTCTTGTTCTTGTTTATTTTCTCTTCTCTCCATGGGGAAGTGGAATAGAATTCTTCCTCTTTAAGCCATGTGTGTTGTAAGAGGCGACTAAAATGCCGGGAACAAGGGCCTAGTAACCCCTTCTCCTGTATACATTACTATAGTTAAAAAGAGAAATTTTTGTTTTTCTTTTTGGGCCACCCTGCTTCAATGGGATATGGCCGGTTTGTTGAAAGAAAGAAAAGAAACATATTCTGTACATGACCATCAAAGTGTTATAAACACATACTGTATTAAGTAATGGTTGACATAATAAATTCTTTAGTCACAGAGCTTTCAGTCTTGAACAGATACACTTTCCAAAGGTTCTTCAAGGTCATCTTGTACTTACCATAATTTTGCTTAGAAGGAATAGTAACTGTGTGTAGCCAACATCCTGGATATGACAGTACTCAAGGCCCATTTGTAAAAGGCCACCAGCGGTTGCATAATCAAATTCCGACAGCCCTAATTGCTGTAAATTTCAATTATATAAATATATATACTATATATATAATATATATTCTGATTGACAACACATTCTATTATTGTTGTGAAATAATTAAACTAGTCGATTGATCTAAGTGACAGGAACATGAAGGTGAAAAGTGATAATAAAACGCAATAAAGGAAATTTATTCAACTTCGGCAAATCTTTTTTTTCCCAAATGTCAAAAACAGAATTCATACCCAGTAGAAAAAAATAAAAGTATACAAAATGTAAATACAAGAGAAAGGTTCTACTTGCAAGAAATGCGTACCCAGTTTTTCTTTAAAAAAAATTAACAGAAAAAAAACCATAACATGGTACTATACTCAAGATAATTGTACAGGAAGTAACACTAAATCTCTAAGCTGAATAAAAACAATGATGGACAATGCCAATAAGTTGGAGAATAAAACATGCAACACTTGGATATCATTGCTGCCAAAACATCTCGCCTGCACAGCAGGCTTCTTCGGGGAAAATGTTTATTCAATAAAGATATTAACCCGTAAACGGTCCAAACGTATATATACGTTTTCTCAACATTTGAAAGTATGTAAACAAAGTAGATCTTCTTTTTGTTTTTCTACATTTGAAAATGTGTACAAAAACTTTGATCTACTTTTTTTTTGTTATATTTGAAAATATGTAAAAAAAACTTAGATCTACTTTTGTAGCACTACACATGTGAACGTAGATCTGCTTGGACCATTTACGGGTTAAGTGCTGCGCATAAATCTTATTAAAACAAAATCTGTATGCAAGTACGCATGCACACACACACATACATACACACACACACATTTATCAATAACTTTAATTCATGTATCAATTAAAAATAAATAGAAAAAATAATTAAAATGAATTAGAAGTTGATAAAAATTGAATAATAGTTTCCAAAGTGGGATTAATTCTTTCTAAAGTGGCATTTAGAAATGGGGGCAAACTATTTCAAGAAAACATAACACAATGCTAAACATATTGCATAAAAAACTTACAGCTGTTTGAAAGATTAAACGACAGTGCCAATACACACTTTGCCGAGATAACTCGATTGCCCGGTGCAGTAAAGATTTGGCATTACTAGCACCTCGGTTGTGTTCGTACAATTTTGCTAGCTCACTTGCAGCTTCAAATCGTACATCATCAAACCCAGCAATATTCATGGATAAGGTCCACTGTTGAAAGAGATCTTTATTAATCATTTATCAAGAGTAAGCTAAGTACCAAAAAAAAAAAAAAACATTTGAACATACCATATTAATGTTTAAGAATTACTGTAATACTGAAACTTCTTGCAAAGTTGACACTTATTAGGAACAGTATATGTATAACTAATAAAACACCCTGCAGCTATTTATACAATAACAGTGTTAAATAAGGTGGCTAAAATAGCAAACTAATCAAAATATTTGGCAATTCCAATTACTGAACCTTTCAGAATTATTAAAACTTACTTAAGAATGTTGTCATCTTTATTCACACACACACACACACACACACACACATATATATATATATACAAATACATATACATACAGTATTAATATTGGTAGAATTACCGACAATATGTAAAGTAAAAGGACACAAGTGCAACTAATGTGACATTTTATTGTGGCAACATTTCGCTCTCCAGGAGCTTTATCAACCTTTAACGGCCTGATAAAGCTCTGGAGAGCGAAACGTTGCCACAATAAAATGTCACATTAGTTGCATTTGTGTCCTTTTACTTTACATACATACAGTACTAGGTATATTTTGGGCTGAACAATCCTTCACTAGTTATCTCATGTTCGTAAGTGTCCTTTATTTAAATGATGTGATTCAGTACTTTATAACCAATGAATTGTATGTATGAATTTAAATAGTATTAACTTTATGTCTAACAACTAAAACTGCAGTAGTTTTTATATTACCAATGAACTGATAATGCAATCAACATATGCTTATCACTTACCAGAAATGTGTAAAAGGGTCTTTACAAGAATAGTGTGCAATATTATATTACTTTTAATAACCATGTAATGTGAAATAAATTAGAATTTGAATATCATTCAAACCAAGGAAAGCCTATCAACCCTACATAACGTTACATAATGTATTTTATAGTGATGAAATCAGTTTCATTAATTTCTCATTGATCAAAAAATTCTAGTTTTAGAGACCCTGCCTTAATATGTTTCAAATAAATAAATAAATATAGGATGTTTGTCCTCATTATTCGTGGGCTTCTGTTGGATACTCCTCCTAGGCCTCCAGCAAGACTGATGTTGTTAACTCAGATGGGTGTGTATGTGTTAGGGTCTGGGTCTGCTAGGGTTTAAGCAAGGTGGCCTTCATGGTTCCCTTTCCTCTTTCTGGAAGAAACTTTGTTTCCTTTATAGATCTTACCCATTTTGGGGCAACATTTTTCCTGTACTCTTAGGAAGGAGGGCTCAATAAGGCACAAGCTATAATGGCCCTTAACAACCTTCAACAAGAAGAATAGAGAAAATCGGTTCTAGTATACATTATTTAGGCATGCATACTGGTCAGAGAGCCCATCATAAGTCCAAGGCGTTGGTAAATGAGTACATCACTAAGTGAGGAGAGGCTGTATTATATTTTGGCACATTTTACATACATAATGAAATTGAGACCATTTTAGTTTTTAAATAACCTTACAATATTTGGAAATTTTTGAGTTGATGGTGGCAATAATATATTGTGTTTGTGTGGTTAAGTTTCTTCTCTCTTTGTTGGGTTTATGAGGTACACTGACAGCATAAGCCATATCGAGCCCGGTTTCTCGATGGTAAGAGGAAAAATTGTTGCCCAAGGCTGGGTGATGAGAGAAAAGGAACAAAAGTTCCTTTGTAAATAGAGACTGAAACTTGAAGTTTCCAATTAGATCTGGTAGATGCCCTTGCCAAGCCCCAGCAGAGCAGGACGCTAACACTCCCACCTGAGTTCAGTAACCGGCTTCCCACCAAAGATCTGATAAAGAATTTCCCACAGAGCGGAAAAAAAATGGAGCTGGCTAAAAGCTGATGAACAGGTGCCCCTCCTGTCGAGTGCCTGGTGGGCAAAACAGATGAGGACAAGCATCCCAGAGAGAACAGGGGAAATCTGTCACCGATACTCAGGAGAGGGAGAGATCGTCCACATCCGACAAAGGCTGGCGCAGAAGTCCCTGTGGTTAAATTTGGGAGATGAGGTGATTTCTAAGCAGAGCCTTGAATTGGTGTGCTGGCAGGGGCCCTTTTGTATATTCAGGCAATGAAGTCCAGATCTTAGGACCCTTTGTATGTATAGCAATTTTGCATAGGGAGAGATGGACACGAGGGATATCAAAGAGTGTTTTGTGTCTTGTGTTATGCAAGTGCGTTCTGTTTTAGTTCTCAAGGAATTTGACAGGAGGGTTTATATTGGAGAATAATGTTCTGTGTATGTAGTAGGCACAATAATACGAGTGGGTATTTTGTATGTTAAACAGGTTCAAGGTCTTAAATAACAGTGGGGAGTGTTGCCTGGTGCAGGAATTTGTAATCAATCTTACAACAGCTTTCTGTTGGATAATTAAAGGTTTAAGGCGATTTGGTGTGGTTGAACCCTTTGTACAAATATCATAGGTGAAGTAAGAGTAGATGAGAGAGTGCTAAACAACAAAAAGTGCCGTTTGGGGTACATAGCACCGTATCTTAGAGAGGATGCCTACTATTTTGGAGATATTTTTGGAGATATGAGGTGTATACTAAAATACCCACTTAATATTAGCACCGCAAACTGCCCAACCTAACAACTGTCACTCAGATATTGTAGCAACACGTACTGCCTGTTCCAGGTGGTCCCGAGCCAGCTCTGTGTTGTTTGTATAATGTATGAGAAGGTTCGCCAGCTGCAGGTGTGTGCGAGCCTCCACTTTGGGTGGGGGGCGGAAGGTTAGCACAGCCTGGAGGCACTGCAAGCAGCTCTTGATATTAGCTGGTTCCTGGGTTCGAAACATCTCGGCCAGTGCTAGCAGGGAGAGGTAATAAGCATCTTGAGAATTAGCCATAGCATGTGATTACGAGGAATTGTGACGCACTAACAGCTAATTCCCGAGACGCGACTCCCGCGACCCACTAACTTGTAAACAATCTGCTTTCAAAACTTAGCGAAATTTCATTGAATTTTCGTCAAGGTCAACTGCAAACCTGAAATAAATCTTGCATACCGTATGGGAAAATATTTTGCTTGAAATATATATGCGACTTTTCCGCTCAAAACCACGTTATTTGTGAGGTGGGCAGTAAATTGTTGAGTTGTGAATGTCGCGCATGGAGGAGAAAAACACGGGAACTATTGACCATTCAGTTTTCTCTCACATCTCCTCTCACACTCGGGATTATGTGAGTAAACCTAGTGAAAGGAGGAGCGTGGGACATGCACATAGCGAGTGACAGGGTGGTTTCGAGAGACAGGAGAGAGAAATGCCGTTACAGAGGCATTTTTTTTTTTTATACTGGTCTGGCAGTGGTGGTCGGGGCGTCAGCTGTGGCCACCTCTGGTGGGATTTCTGTTTTATTATGCGGTATGTTGAGTCTGTTGAGCCACAGAGGACGACACTGTCATACTAAGTGGGATTTGCTCCGACGAGGAATCATGTCTAGAACTCGTAAGGGGTTTAATAAAGTGTGAGAAGTTGGGCAAGATCTTGGTGGACGAGGGTAAGGTGGTGGTGGAGTGAGGCACCTAACCTGTATGACCCTTGTGGGTTTAGCGCTTAGTTTTGATTGGTCTTGAGGTACCTTTCTGGGCGTACCTTTCTTGAGGTACGTTTCTTGAGGCGCCTTTCTTGAGGCGCCTTTCTTGAGGTGCCTTTCCTGAGGCGCCTTTCTTGAGGCACCTTTCTTGAGGCACCTTTCTTGAGGCACCTTTCTTGAGGCACCTTTTTTGAGGCACCTTTTTTGAGGCACCTTTCCTGAGGTGCCTATCTTGAGGCGCCTTTCTTGAGGCACCTTTCTTGAGGCACCTTTTTTGAGGCACCTTTTTTGAGGCACCTTTCCTGAGGTGCCTATCTTGAGGCGCCTTTCTTGGGGCACCTTTCTTGAGGCGCCTTTCTTGAGGTGCCTTTCTTGAGGCACCTTTCTTGAGGCACCTTTTTTGAGGCACCTTTCCTGAGGTGCCTTTCTTGAGGCACCTTTCTTGAGGCGCCTTTCTTAAGGTGCCTTTCTTGAGGCACCTTTCTTGAGGCGCCTTTCTTGAGGCGCCTTTCTTAAGGTGCCTTTCTTGAGGCGCCTTTCTTGAGGCACCTTTCTTGAGGTGCCTTTCTTGAGGCACCTTTCTTGAGGCGCCTTTCTTGAGGTGCCTTTCTTGAGGCACCTTTCTTGAGGCGCCTTTCTTGAGGCGCCTTTCTTGAGGCGCCTTTCTTGAGGCACCTTTCTTGAGGTGCCTTTCTTGAGGTGCCTTTCTTGAGGCGCCTTTCTTGAGGCGCCTTTCTTGAGGCGCCTTTCTTGAGGTGCCTTTCTTGGGGCACCTTTCTTGAGGCGCCTTTCTTGAGGCGCCTTTCTTGAGGCACCTTTCTTGAGGTGCCTTTCTTGAGGCACCTTTCTTGAGGTGCCTTTCTTGAGGCACCTTTCTTGAGGCACCATTCTTGAGGTGCCTTTTTTGAGGCACTTTTCTTGAGGCACCTTACTCCCGTCTTATCTACTCAGCCGCATTACTCATTGTAAATCTTTATTCTTCTTGAAGACATGTCTACTAAGCGATTGTATCTTGCAGTGCATACAGCTGTTATACTTGTTAACAATTCTAAATGGAAATAAGTCACTTTTCTTTGGGTTACTCTAAATAATTTAAACATATATAACAAAAAGGCACAATACCGTGACTGGAACGATACACAAATAACCCGCACATAAAAGAGAGAAGCTTACGACGACGTTTCGGTCCGACTTGGACCATTGACAAAGTCACACGTGTGACTTTGTCAATGGTCCAAGTCGGACCAAAACGTCGTCGTAAGCTTCTCTCTTTTATGTGAGGGTTATTTCTGTAATTTAAACATATGTTACTGTATGATAATTATACTTGTGTACCTGTGCCTCAGTAAAATTAGGGATGATAGCCTCCACTGCCTAGTCTGAGATCAGACCATCTAAATTGGAATGGATTTATTACAAGAATACAAACTAAGAACATGGTAAAAGTATACAACTGCTACTTAGTAGATACTGGCCATTAATTATAGTATGAATTGTTCATTATTAAGTCTTTTGTAGTTTAGATATTATTTTGTGCAAATGGTAAAACATGTAACCAAACCAATAAAGTTCACCTAAACCCAACCTAAAATGCCTTAACGTAACTTGTACTCATGGCTCAGTTGATAGTGTACTCAGCTTGCACACTGAGGTACTGGGGATCGCTCCCTGTCATGGATGAAATATTGGACATGTTTCCTTACACCTGCTGCCCCTGTTCACCTAACACCTGGGTGTTAGTTGACTATTGTGGATTGCATCCTAGGAAGAAAATTATAGGCCCCCAGTGGAAATAAGATGGACATTCCCTGATGACTCCTGGATTTTGTTGTTATCCTGAGTGGCTAACCCTACATGTTACAAATCCTAACAGAATCTTATCTTTTCTTGTCTTAAGTGTACCTCTGCTATCAGCATTGGTCCATCTTTATGTATGGCCAGACAACATTACTTGATACTAAGCATCAATTGGCTCACACATGCTTGAAAACTAAAATTAATGTACTGTGCTAATTTTGCTATTATCTCCCAAAGTAATTTTCACAAGAAATAATTACTTGTTCCATGTTGTGCATAGGTTGTTTATACTGTAAAATATAAGCCCAAAACACATGGGAAACTAAAGTGTATACTGAATATCAGTAAAAGTATGTATGATGTACCTGCCATCTTACATGTTCATAAGACAGACAGACAAAACCAGCAGCCCTGAGAGAGTACACAGCATTTAACAAACTTTGAAGAAATCTTCATCCTGTCAGAGTGCAAAGCATAAAATACAGGCAGGTACCACTTTGTAGCATTTGGCTAGTACAACTGTTTTCAATTATACCCATTCATCATTTATTCAGACTTCCTACAATAAATATATTCACCGCTTACTATAAACTATGGTCACCCTGCCTTGGTGGGAGACAGCCGACATGTTAAAAAAAAAAAAGTAATTTGTGTACTGTATATGCATTTTTTAGGCCTAGCTATATTGCTCACTTAATATGATAGTGTAAACATGTTACCAGGCTTTTATGTGCATTTGTAAGTGAAAAAAAGCTATGAGTTACTTTACAGCAATTTTTGCTTTACATTGGTAGTCCAGAACCTAACCTGCTGTATAAATGGGGCCCTCCTGTAGTCATTGTACTTAAATTTCTTTCCTATGTACAACTTAATTAAATCACTTAGCGTTTATGTAATGTACTTAATTATTATACAGTGAAACATTAATAGCTATTAATGAAATAATCATAAGTACTATAACACTTACAGTACTGTACATCAGAATTGTAGCATCAGACATGAAAAATAAATTGTAACAACAATAGGAAAACATATGATTTCACATATAGTTTAGTTTTTGCTAATAATCTTGAGAGATTTCTTTGCAAAGCAGCTTAATAAATAATCTTCATTTATACAAGTACACGTGTAAGGTATACAGGCCTAGCTGATGTCAATGACACTTCTATATAGAAAGCCCCTTGTTATGCGGAGCATTTCGGGAGAGTTAGGTCAGTTTTGTTCCCAGGAAGCAACCCACCCAGGTACCTATTTTACTGACAAGTGAACATGGACATCAGGTGCCCTAGGGAAACATGTCCTAATGTTTCCACCCATACCAGTGGACAGCCCCATTCAAAGCAAGAGAAATATCAGAGCTGGAACAAGTAGAGATTGTTTACAGCTCACATTGAGCCAGTAAAGCACCTAAATTACTGGGAATGCCTTCAAGTCTTGAACATGTACTCATTGGAGCGGAGGAGAGAATGATACATGATAATACATACCTGGAAAGTACTTGAGGGCCTGGTCCCAAATCTGCATACTGCCATAACAGCATACTGGAGTGAGAGATATAGGAGGAAGTGTAAAATAAACCCAGGGAGGACCAAGGGTGCGGTGGGGACAATAAGGGAACACTATCAACAACCTGGGTCCCAGACTATTCAACATCTTACCAGAGGATATCAGAAACATGGCTGGAACGAGTGTAGAAGCCTTCAAGAGGAAACTGGACAAGTATCTTCACCAGGTGCCAGATCAACCAGGATGTGGTGGATATGTGAGGCAGCAGGCTTCCAGCAGCAACAGCCTGGTTGACCAGCCAAGCACCAGATGAGCCTGGCTCATGGCTGGGCTCCAAGAGTAGTGAAACTCTTGAAACTCTTCAAAGGTATATCAAAGGGGATCAACCCCTGCTTCTCAGTGGGTAAGCTGTGTGCGCTAGCGGTCGAGCTGCGGGATACCATTGTGAATAATCAAACCTTTATGAATAATGAATCCTTACTAAAAACTTAATAACTTAGTAGGGTATTTAAGGTACCATGCTGCAGATACCTGGTGAATTCATTCTAATTCTGAAAATTTTCAGTGAAGTTCACTTGTAAAGTAGCTATATAACACATTCATTTTGGAAATATATCCCCACACAATTGCTCATGTTGTGAGCACCCTAAAACAAAAACATTGCTAATATTGTATGTGATTCAGTGTTTTGTTTTTAAATTATACTGAATATGTAACTTCGTAAAATCTCTATTGCAGGTGAACGCTGATCTCTGTTGAATCCTTATCACATACTGTAGCATTCAGGCTTCTGACAACTTCCTCATATGGTTACTCATGTGTAGTCATGTCCAGCATGGATTTTGAGAGTCCAGATGTAGAAAAGGAGTTTCCAGGTCTCTATGCGTCTGAGTCATCTCGGCGCAGTGACAGTGATTGTGAGTGTTGGCAGAACAGTTGATTTCTCAGCCTGATTTTATACTATAAGATCAATCCTTAGTTTGATGTGTATGTACAGGTAAACCATAAATGATGATAATTATGAATGTATTCATACTCGATTATGATTGAAATATATTATTATTTTCTTACCGGTATTGTTATTAC